AGAGAGAGAGAGAGAGAGAGAGAGAGAGAGAGAGAGAGAGAGAGAGAGAGAGAGAGAGAGAGAGAGAGAGAGAGAGAGAGAGAGAGAGCACATGAAGCAAGAATACAGGCCAATGGTTTTCAGCCAACAAGAATCGTGAACGGCGAAGAAGCTGCAGGATGAAGCCTGGAGTTATTCTTGGCTGCACTGTTGAACATTGACCTCATCGATTTTCAATGGTTTACAAATTCTGTCAAGACAAAGTATATCACCCCTCCTCCTCTCGGAAAGGGCATGTGCACAAAATTTGAAAATGGTTTCCATTCGAGTCTGGCCACAGCAAATTTGAAATTTAGCCTTTTCACCGATGCCCCCCCACCAATTGGAAGTCTACTGTATACATAAACCCTACAATGATTAAAAGATTACATAAAAATCCACACACAATACAATACACAATCGGAGGTACTGTTACAATGATTAAAAATTAAAAGCCATGCACAATACACAATCTGTGCAGTTGTTGCTTTTGCTTTCTCACCTCGATCATCTTTTTTTTTTCTTTCTCTTTTTCTTGAAAGACATACAGCATTTCAACATTCAAATGTTTTGCGCGTTCCGCTGTTTTCAGCCTGCATCTGATCGGAAACCTTGTACGACAAGAAATCCTCCGCTTCTGCACACAATCGCGCGGCATCACCATCCGCTCTCCAACCCTACAAAATATATGGGTCGGCGAGGACACCTTACTTTTCAGAAAGGGCGACGGCCGTGCGACGTCGTCGACGTTGTCGGACTCACCGGCCCCAGGGAATTCACCACGATCCGATTTCGTTCGACTGGTAGTCCCATCCAGATTTGAACTCGGGTCTGCGTTTCAACAGTTCATGAGTGTGTCCACACTGATCTAGTCCACAACTTCCTACGTAGTACGTACGGCTCTTTTTTAATCATCGTTATCGAAAAGAAAGACACAGAAAAAAAAAAAAAATCCTCCACTTCTCAACGCAATCGTGCAGCATCACTGACCGCTCTCCAACCCTATAAGATACGGGTTGTCGAGGATGCCTACTTTTTAGAAAGGGCGACGCCCTTGAGATATTGTCGACCTGAGCGGCCCCAGGGAGTTTATATTACTTTATAATTACTTCATTTTCGTTCAGCTAGTTCAATCTGGATTTGAACTCGGGTCTGTATTTCAAAATTTTCAAACATTTCATGCGTGTGGCCACACTGATCTACGCCCTAACTTCATCATAAATTCATGATAGCTGAAGTCTTAATCATTGCAAGAGTGTGCGTTTACCTAACTCCATGTTTCGAGCACCATTCCCGTTCCCACAGAGGGACATCCACCCGAAGCATCCACCCAAAGAATCCAGTCACAATCTCACCCGTACCCTACCCTTGTCCTCCTCTTCTTCTCACCATACCCCCTGTGGAGAATATCGGGCCTCCCACCCCTTCCACAACACACACCTCACCGCGGGGAAAGTTCGCCTTTTTTATGTCATCTTTTCACAATACCCTGGAGTATGTAGGAATTCGCACCCCCTCCATAACATGCACCTACCCCACCAGAGACAAGCAAACTGATGCCACCAAATTCACGCGCAACGTAGACAATAACCTTCATACAAATGAAGAACCCCTTTATACAACTAATCAGCGACACAGCTCAACCCAACCTCCTCTTCTTCTCTTTGCTAAGTGTGTTCTATACAGCTGCATTACCTCACTCTACTTTCACACGTCCCTGATGCCGATGCTACCAGCCTACCAGCCTACCAGCCATGCGTCCCCTCAAATTCTCTGTTATATGCTCTAAGGATTACCCTTTCCAGCACTTAAAAAAAGAAGAAAACAATAAAGAATAAAAAAAGAAAAAAACGAAAAAAAAAAGAATTAGCCTTTCCAGCACTAAGTGGGTTCTCTACCACCTGTAGGACAACCCTCTCTCTACTTTTGTACGTCCCTGTTGCAGATGTTATCTAACAGCCATCCCGACCAGAAAAAAATTATCTGTTTACAGCTCCGAGCATTGCCTACCGTTACAGCACACCACTGCGTTCACACGAGTATTACTGCCTATCGCCACAAAAAAAAAAATTGCTGTCTTTGCTAAGGCACGAACTATAAGAACATAACTAAAAATGTTCCTCTGCCAGCGCCCGCCCTCCCCCCGCCCCCGGGTCTTCAGCACCCTCGCCTCACCTCCCAAATTTGCTTGCTTGCCATGGCGACGGGCATGCCTCTCAGCACAGCTTTTCCCTCACTCCCTTCTTATCCCCTATTCTCGCAAAAGCATGGGGCACATGCGGCAGTTCCCATCCCTCCCTGTGCGAGAGAAGTAGCCGTGTGGTAAATATAACAGTCCCCGTTTGCAGTCGTCTTATCTTTCCAGCCGTTAGACCTTCAAGTTGCTGTCCGCAGTCCTCCTACTCCTCCTCCTCCTCCTCCTCCTGCATAAGCGCAAATCCGTCCGCCAGGGTGGTGTCGAGCAACGTATAAGGTCCATGTACTACTGCTTTTCGTGGTGGCGAGTGGTGTCGGGAAAGTCTAAGAGCAGATACTGACTGTGTGCAGCATCATGAAGGTCAGATACAACCAGTCCTCAGACATGCCACTGAGTGAAATGCAGTTCCATGGCTCATAGATAAATAAAAAAAAGAAAAAAAAAAGAAATGCGGTTTAGTAAAAGAACCTTTAGCCTGGCCAACGGATTTGCGCTTAGGGCATATATATACTCACACCAATTATATATATGCCCTTTGTTTCTTGTGCTGTTCTCCCTCTCTGCTTGTCTACCGACTGTATCTATAGCCGTCATGATACAACAACCAGCAGGAAAGTCCCCAGTGTGTTGAGTGTGCCTGCCCCTCAAGCCCTCCAGCTGCTGCCATCCTGTTGGCTTTCAACCAGGAAAGTGCCCAGTGTGGATGTGGGCCCCTCGAGCCCTCCAGCTGCTGCCATCCTGTGAGCTTTTGGCTTTTGCGCTTAGGGCACGCTCGCATTAGTGCTTCTCGACTGCACGTATCTAGCCGTCATGAAGGTCACAGATACAACCAGCAGAGTGCCCAGTGTGAATGTGCCCCTCGCGCCCTCCACCTGCTGCCATCCTGTTGGCTTTTCTAGTCATTTTTTTTTTCATAGAACAGATCGCAGAGAGGAAAAACTTTGGAAAAAAAACATTCACCAGCTGAGAAATACCAACCTGGGCACTCTGCTGGTTGGTAGGGGACCCCTTTTACCTGGCCCCCCCTGTTTGGTCTTGGGGCAGGGGACCCCTTCGACCCGGCCAACCCTAGCTAGGGGTTTTAGGAATGCACCGGTGCTTGGGCGCGGGACGAGGTCAGTGCCAACCCATAACTCTTACAGCTCTCCAGCTTAGGTGCATAGACTTGGCATGCTACGAGAACGAATGATGGAAACTGGATGTAGATAAGAGGTTAGGTAGTGGGAGGTATACGAGAGAGGAACGAACAAAAAAAGAAAGAAAAAAAAAAAGAACATGGATACATGGATAAGGTAAAACCTCCCTGACCCCAAATGAAGAAACATGTTCACAGAGATCCTTGTACTCCAACAACTACCTTCCTCCCCCGAATACAACGTAGGCCGTACGGTCATTATAGCGGTACTTAGACTCTTAAGTCTATAAGAAACCCCAAATACCGCGATGCTGACTGCACGTTGTATTCGGGGGAAGAAGGTAGGGGACGGGACACGGACGCAACAATTTGTTTCCAAGTAGGGAGGCAGAGAGCACGGATTTGCGCCAAATACGAAGGGACAACGCAGGAGAGGGACAAATAAGGCAGACCAGGGGCCAATTTCAGGATGCTCACCAGATTTGAAACATATGAATGAAAAACAGCTTGGACATCTAACAGTCATGTTCGCTTTTCATCGGAGTCCAAATACAAGTGTCACGATTCACTTGTGTGCGCTGACTCGATCAAGTGCCTCTTAAGAGCTTTGATTTTCTTCTGCATAAATGCAATCTCCAGATCCACTTTGGCCTGGCAACAAACGTAAGCACACAACGAAAGAAGCAGAGGCTTCGTTAGACAAAAACTGCAACTCACGATCCACTTAGAATACAGGCCAAGTACGATGTACTTGGTTCGACAAAAACTGCAACTCATGATCCACTTAGTCTATACAGGGTACTATGTACTACTAGGTACTATGTACTACTAGGTACTATGTACTACTATGTACTATGTCTATACAGGGTACTATGTACTACTAGGTACTATGTACTACTAGGTACTATGTACTACTATGTACTATGTAGTCTACAGGGTATGTACTATGTACTA